CCGCCCCCCTCGTCTCTCTTTCTCCCCCTCTCTCCCGTGGCCCCCCCTTCGCCCTCCCCTGCCCCTCGCGCCCGCCCCCCCTGCTCCCGCTTCCTCCGCGCTCCCGCCGTGTCCTTCCCCCCCCTCCTCGCCGGCCGCCCCACGCCCCTACGCGCCTTGTCCCCTTCCTCCCCGCTCGCCTGCCGAGGCCGAACAGGGGGCACAGCCTGTGCATGCAGCTCTCCCCTTCTAACACCCAGTCAAGCATGCCCCTCTGCAGGGGGAATATTCAGACATATACGAAACAACAGGCTGGGCACGATGCTCCCAGCATTTCTTGTCATTGTCTTGGTTTCTCCCGGAATACGCCTGTGGGAGGACATGCCCGACCTAGTCTAGCACCGCCTCCCGCCGGCCTCCTGCGCCCCCCCTCGTGGGCCGGTTGGTGCTCCACCTTGTGGGTTCGTCTGCAGAGACCAGCGACCAGCAGCGCGAGTGGTCGGGGCCGACCCGCGGCTTCCGTCCCTGGAGCTCCCGTTCGGCTACAGCGGAGGCCCATGCCAGGAATTACCCCGCTTGCCTCCAGGGTCCTCTGGGTTTCTTGGGTTTGGGATGGTTATGCAATAGGGAGCGTGACCTTCCCACACCAACAATCCATGGACGCCCTGGGGTCTCAGGGTTGGGCTCCTTGTGGACGGCTTCTTGTGGTCGAGCCTCCACTGTGCAACGCCTCCCTTCCTTCTCGACCCCCCCTCGCCCTCACTCCTCCTCCTCCTCCTCCTTCTTCTCCTCCTTCCCCCTCCTCTTCCTCCTCCTCCTCCTTCTCCCCCTCCTCCTCCTCCTCCTCCCCCTCCTCCTCCTACTCCTCCTCCCCTCCTCCTCCTCCTCCTCCCCTCCTCCTCCTCCTCCTCCTCCTCCTCCTCCTCCTCCTCCTCCTCCACAGAGGTCCCCCGAGGGCCTTGACCCCCGGAGGTCTTCGGATGCCTCCAGGCCTCCCGGGGCTCAGAGCGGGCCCATGGCTTCCTCCGTCCCGCCCAGGCTTCCGCGTGCGCGCCTGCGCGCGTCCGCTCGGGGGGGGGGGGGCAGGACGAGGGGGGTGGAAGCCGCGAGCCGCGGAGGAGGAGGACGGATGCAGAAGGGAGGGAGGGTGCGGGGGGAAGGAATGAGAGGGAGAGCTTGGGAGGCGGCGGCGACAGGACAGGAACGGCGGAGGAGAAGGGGAGGACGGATGGGGCAGGAGGAGGAGGAGGAGGAGGAGGAGGAGGAGGAGGAGGAGGAGGAGGATTTATTCTTGTTGTTTGATTGGCGCGCAACGGTCTTTACCCAGGCCGCTCCCTCCCCCCCAGGTTAATATTAAAGGTTGCACGAGGGGAGTCAGCGCCGCCGCGACCGCGTCGGTCGCGCCAGACTAGCGGCGGCTCTGTGCGCGAGCCTGCGCGCGCTAGCGCGGCCGCAGCGATGCGCCAGCCAGCGCCAAGCAGTCATCGCAATCGAGGCCGCATGGGTTTTGCAAACCATGTTGCGGGTGATTGGGCTGGCTGATTGCGCGAGCAGTGGAGTTGACAACTCACTGCGAGCATAGATTGCACCCTATAGGCTGCACCACATACGTTACACAGTTTATATTTTCCTTTCTAATCAGCATTCGCATCTACCACCCCTCCCCTCCAGATCATCGGCTTCCCCACCAACGCGGCCGCGCCGGTCGCGCCAGGCTAGCCAGCCGCTGTGCGCGCGAGCCTGCGCGCACTTGCGCGGCCGCAGCGATGTGCCAGCAAATCCCAAGCAGTCATCGCAATCGCCGCCGCATGAGTCCGATGCACGCTTGAACTGTACTACGTATATTTGCACAGCGCATATGGCTCATCATTGATTGCACAACACAGTTTGGCACACCACGCAGTACATCTGGTGTACTGCACAGCACAAACGGCAATACATATACAAACGTATATATATACACATACACACAGGTTGCGGAACATAATTCTCACCATGTAGTTTGCACCACGTAGACTACACATCCGAGACTGCACTGTGTAGTCTGTACACCATCGAATACACCACATGTATTGCCCACCGCATATTGCTTCACACATCTTTCGCACACCATGTAGTGCCCGATTCACTCGACGTGGGGCGCACGCTGGCTAACACGTCGGCTATACATTCGGCTGTGCGGCATCATTACTGTGCGCATTTCAAGGTTGCCAAACGGGTGTTGGCCACCACCCGCAATACCAATGACATGCATGGATTGCATTCTCATGAAGGGGCGTTCCCCGTGGGATTGTGCACCAACCACGATCGCGGCTCGTTGTTACCCATGCAGGGCCAAGTTCGTGATGGTCAAGCACGACAGCCTACGCAGTACGCTGCCATAGTGGCGTTCTGGGCAAACCTCTCAGTACTAGGTGGTTTCGGCCACACTGTTCTTCAGTGCTCGGAAAGCCTCTGGTTTGTCACATTCAGTTCCGTATGCCGAGACATTGTCAACCATTAGAAGTACACAATTGGGCCAGTCCATCGTTGCAGTATCCAGCGATCTAGTCTAGACAACCCGCGTAGCCCCACCATCTCGTCCAGAAGCGATGCTTCGGCCAGTTGGCCTGACCAGGGATGTGGAGGAGCATGCAATGGCATGGGTGGCTGGGAAAGCTGTCGCACCCCACGAAATGGAGGATGGGGGAGGGAGGAATCGGAGGAGCAGGAGGGGACGGGGGATGAAGAAACAGGAACGAGAGAAATGGGGGAGGAGCAGGAGGAGGAGGAGGAGGAGGAGGAGGAGGAGGAGGAGGAGGAGGAAGAGGATCAGGAAAAGGCGGATGAGGAAAAGGAGGAGGAGGAGCAGGAGGAGGAGGTGGAGGAGGAGGAGGCGAGCGAGCCGAAAGGCCACAGGCCGCCTCTTGGATGCCTTTCGGCTTCTAGTCGGATGTGTATTGGTAGCTTCTTGAGGGCATGCTGGTGCGTCCTGAGGGCCTCTTGGCGGTCGCGCGGAGCGTCTTTGGGGCCTCGTGGGAGCCCCTCGGGGCCTCTTCGGGGCCTCGAGGGAGCATGGTGGAAGCCCTGTGGCAAGGCTTCGTGGGGCCTCCTCGGTGCCTCGTGGGGCCCCCCTTCGTGCACTCTCGGGAGCCTCGAAGGGGGGCCATCTTCGGGCCATCCCGGGGGAGATCGATCAAGCAGAGAGGAGTCCTCACTTCGGGCCCCCCCCCCCCGGAGGAGGCCAACACCTTTTTTTGCAACATCATCGACGTTTGCTTTTTCGCCGGCGCCGTCTTGAGCGTTCGAGGCCACCGCGGCCCGTCGCAGTCCAGTTTTGCGGGGAGAGGGTCTTGCTGTCTCGCCAGAGAGCTGTCTCGCCCATTCCCACCCACCCTCTCAGCACGGAAGTAACACCCGGGCCTCATCCTGTTCAGCGGTCGTCTAAGGATGGACATCTTCTGGGAACCAATACGTGTGTGCGGTTACGCGCGTCAGGTGCGCCAGTCCCCCCTGGGGCCCAAGCGTGGCAGGCACGCATGCTCCAGCCGCGCCAGGTGAGCCGCGTCCGGGGCACGCGCAGAGTGTGCTACGTGAACCTGCGTACGTGGCAGCACGCATCGGGAACCGTGTCGGCCCCCACCACCCTGGTCGAACGCGAGTGCGCAATCGCGGCGGAGTGGCCATCCTAGTGTCTGGTGGGCCTGCACACAGCAGGCAATATGCCAGCACCCCCGCCGCCCCAGTCAAAAACCAATCCGCAGTCAACGCGGGGGACGCGCCTGATGCAGATTTTGCCTCGAAGTGCATCGTGCAGTGTTTTTGACGCAGATGCTGGCCCTGCGCGCAGCAGGCGATCTGGGAGCATCCTCACCGTCCCTGTCAACAAAAACAATACAAAGTGCTAGCGCCTCCCCGATCATGACCCGAGGTTTTGCCCCAAAGTGGACTACACATTGTTTTCGACAGGGATGGTGTGGGAGGGTCCTCATTGGTCTTTGTTGGCTGCCGGTCGCCTGGGTGCGGGGGTGTTCATTAATAGGGAACAGTGATAAACCCTTTCCCCACGGGAAGGACAGGGGCTGGAAGAGGAAACCTGCCAAACCACTTGCGCCCCAACGAGCTGGTTGGATGATGCAGGATGCTGATGCCGACACGGGCAGCAGTCACAACCCACGACATGCTGGATCGCAGCCTCATTGGCACCAAGGGTATTCCTCAGGACGCAGACACCGATTGCATGGACCTCTACGGGTTGATCACTGGTGTCCGTGGCGTACCATCAGGCAAGTCACGCCGCGTGGATATCATGGCACTGCGCGAGGACCGAATGCGACGTCGAATCCGTTCGTTCAAACTTTTTGCGTCGGCGGCTAGGCAGAGTAACTGCGCTGGCGATGTATTTCCTAAACGGGGGTGCCGCTGTAGCGAATTGTGCCGCCATGCAGGAGGAGGGGAGAGGGCAGAGGTCGCGGCCGAAAAAGGGGGGGAGGGGAGCGAGGCCGCTCGGGAGGACGGGTCGCGCGCCGTTCGTGAAGACAAGGTTTATGTCGGGCCTGTCCCCCTACAGGGGGATTTCCTCGACGAAAAATAAAACATGCCCCCAAAATAGCCCAAAAATAGTCTGGGGACTATTTTTTGAATATGTTATTACTTTTTTGGTGTATTTTTGGAGTATTTTTTATTTTTTGTCGAAATCCCCCTGTAGGGGGACACGCCCGACATAAGACAAGGGCCTACGAGAATCGTGCTTGAAGGACGGCTCGATGAGCTGCTGCTGCACTGCACCACGGGCACACGGAAGGTCACGCCCATGGAGGGCCGGGCGGCGCGGCACCAAGCAGCGAACTGGCACCCAGAAGCTCCCGAGGCGGGCGTCGAACACCTCCATGCAGCGTCGTGCGTCCATGGGTAGGACGGAGGAGAAGGGAGGATGGGGAGGTCCTTCTCGCTCCGATCAGTTTTGGGAAGGCAGGGTAGGTGCTGATGGGGATTATCATCAGATGGGAGTGTGTACCTCGTCACAGCCCTCTCGGCCCGAGGGGTGCGCGACCGAGGGTTTTCGTTTCACCCTGCTCAGGGCTGCCTGGTGGTCATGATCTGCCTGCTATTTCACCCTGCTCAGGGCCTGGGTCGCTGCCCAGACGCGCTTGACCTTGGTCGGCCTGCGTCCGTAGCGTGGCCGGAGGCACAGCAGACGCCACCAGATGCCCCATGGCATCCGTCATGGCGGGGATCACCAACTTTCGGAAGCACGGAGCTGCTCGAACGAGCCCTCTCGTTGTTTCCGTCGCAGTTCTTTGTTCCCGTCAGTCCGTCGGTTCACAGAGCGATGCGCGACGTCAGCGGGCTCGATCTGGCATGTCTGTCCAACTTCGACGCTTTTTTGCGCGAGGCTGGAGCCCCACCAACCATGAAGGGCCCCGACATACAGGCATTGTGGTCCAAGTCGCCTATGCACGCCGCGGCTGCTCGGCAACATCGCCCTTCGGCCTCCGACCGGGCTCTTCCCGGCCTCGTAGAACACGGTGTGGATCCGGATGAGCATGTCCGCATGGCGTTGCTTCTGTCGCATCCATTCGCGGCCCCACCCAGTCTGGAGCTCGATCTGCAATTCGCCGTCTACGCCAACGCTTCGCTTGGACCCCGCGTCCGCGATCAGCGGCGGCACCGGCGAAAATTGCTAGTGCGGCTTGCTGCTGCACTCCGCCCCCTGGACGAGTTTGCTTTGCAGCAACGACATGTCAGCATCGCAGGCGCGCCAGGAATTTCGCCTGTATTCGCAGCGGTGCTCGTCGTGCTGTTGGATTGGCCTGACACGGGCCTGCCAACCAGACTGGTCCACGGCTTCGAGATAGCCGCGGAGGTCCCTGCCTCTGGCGTCCTCCGTCCATGCTCCACGAAATCTACTGGGCACAATGCGCCCCAGCCTCAGGACTGGAGAATTCCTCGAGCAGTTGCCGAGGCAGCAGCCGATGCAGCTTTGTCCCAGCCAGTTGGATATGCGTGGGAGCTGCTCACGGAGGCGTGTCGCCATTTCGCTAACATGTTCGAGCTCGAGCTCGAGGCCTTCACTGGGGTTGGGGTCAAACAAAAGGGGTTCAAAGGGGGTTTCCTGAAACCAAGATGGGTCCAGATTTTCGCCAAGCCAAGTTGTGTGGATGAGAGACAGCAGCACCACGGATGGATCTGGCTTGCGCAACAGCTTTCCGAGACGATTGGGGCTTCTGTGAGGCTCCAGAAGCTCCATGATGACCCCGTTTTTCAGGACCATGCCCAAATCGATCAACTCACTAGTGATGTGGAGCTCCAGGTCCAGCAGCTGCTCACCACACCCTGCCCAGGTGAAGGGCGCAGTATCCGTTTAGACGCTGCTTTAGTGCAGGCACGAGCCTTGGCACGCAGGTTTCCTTCGACAGGTGAGCTGTCGGACTGGAGCGACGAGTGCCAGGAGTTTCTCGCTTCGTGGGATGACGATCTCGCGGCGGCCAAGCAGGCCATCGACAAACAAAAGAGGGATAGTTGGGATGAGTGGCAGGAGAAGGCGTTACACGGGGGGGCGAGGGCTATGCATCGATTGACCAAGTTAAAAGCGAAGTGGTCCCCGACGGTCGTTCAGACCCACCCAGGTTTCTTCTCCAATGATCCGCAGGCTCTCTTGAGACAGCAAGGCGATGAGCTTGCTGGTTTCTGGCATGCGTCTCACGAACCTCGTGAGGTTTGCGTGCCCGACAGAGAGCATCTGCCCCGACCCTCGGCGATCGAGCTTCGAAAAGCCTCGTCGAGCTTCTCTCACCTCACCTCCCAGAGCCTCGACGGTATACACCCTCGTCAGTTCAGTCTTGTTTCGGATGAAGCTCTGGAAACGTTTGCGGCGATAGTGCAAGCTACGGAATGTTTGGGTTTGTTCCCCAAACAGTTGTTCTGGCTTTTGTTTCCCCTCCTTGAAAAACCCAAGGGAGGACTTCGACCCATTTTGTTGTGTACGGGGCCCGTTCGAGTCTTGGAAAGGTTACGGCGACCTTTCGTGACCGACTTTAATTTGAGCTACCCTCGGAAATACTGGGCTTTCGGCCCAGGTCGCAGTGCTGAAGATGCTGTATGGCATCAGGCGGTCAAGGCCGAGGTTGCTCAACAGAATGATAAGGTCACGGGGGGGGTTTATTTGGGATGCCACCAAATACTATGAATCCTTCGACCTCTCCCTCCTCCGACAAAGGGCCCTGGAGTATGGCATAAATAGCACGATTGTGAAAACGACGTATAACTACTGGCGGGGCCCACGGCTGTTGCGCATCGGGGCCCAGTATGGCCTCGTTCCTCTTTTTGGCTCGTCAGGGTTACCAGCTGGTGACATTTTTAATGGCATCTTCGTGCGTGTGTACAGTATAGGTGCCTTCGACCGCTCTATCGTCGAGCATCCCGAAGTCTGGCTTTCGTCTTACGTGGGCGACAACAGCGTGACGAGTGACGGCACTGAGCAGCAGGTGCTATCACGGGTTTCAAAGGCAGCTGTGGCCCTGCTGATCATTGTTCGTGAAGAGCTTAGAGTGGACGTCCACCCTGACAAGATTTGCACGTTCGCGAGTAATCAAGGTTTGGCCAACAAACTTGCTCGACTGTTGGGAAGGATGGCGGGCCAAGTCAGCACGGGAATCGTTTCGTTAGGATCGGACCTTGCCCCAGGTAGGCGTAGAGGTGCGAGGCGCGCCACGTGGAAGCGCAAGCAACGCTTCCAAGACATGCGTAGACGCCACCGTGTGCTCCAGCGTTGCACGAGAGCCCTCCCCCGCCAGCGAGGAAGGATGGGAAAAATCTACACTGCTGGAGTTTTGCCAGCGGCCACGTTTGGATCGGCGATTGTGGGGGTTAGCAACGGAGAGCTTAGGGAAGGTCAACGTGTGCTTCTTAGTTACAAACCCCCTCGGCACAATGGATGCTCTCTGAGAGCTAAGCTGGCCATTCTCGGAGACCCCATGTGGAGACCTGCTGTTGCCCCTGTGCTCCAGTGGGCTGCTGTTGTTTGGACGGCTATCACTAGCCCTGAGTCTTCCTTTCACACTGTGAAAGACCTGTGCGGTTTCTGGTGTGATGTCCCTTTCGATGATAGCACCACGTGGAATACCTCACGTGGACCCCTTCAGAGGATGCACCTTAGCCTGCACAGGAGTGGATGGACTTCCACCTCGGCTTTGACGTTTCGAGATGACTATACTCGTGAGATTTCTTTGGCCTACACCTCCCCCTCCATGCTTTCGTTTTTGTTGGACTTGGCTACTCAGAGATCCCACGAGAGAGCGTTCGCCGAGAGCACTGAGGGATTCCAAGGGACGCGTGTCTGTGTTGAACCCTTGAAAAAGCTGTTGGGCCCTAGGGGGAAAGGCCTCTCTCAGCGAGAAAAATATCTGGCACTCACGGTTTTCTGCCAAGGAGTTTGGACGCGAGCAAGGGCTCGCGCGTGTGGTTATAGCACTGCAGGAGACTGCCCTCGTTGCGGCCTTCCCGATAGTGTTCGGCATCGAGCATGGAGATGCCTTCACCCTGATGCTAGCAAGGCACGAGCTGAAGCGCTAGGCGACGAGCTTCCCGCCTGGTACGCTGAGGCTTTGGACGGTGAAGATAGGAAGTTTTTCGATGAAATGAAATGGGAGCACCCTGAAAGTACCTGCCCCCCCCCCCTCGACGAACCCGAACCCCGCCCTCTTCGACGGGGAAGGTAAGGAGGTTCCCTGGGATTCGATTGACCTTCGGGGGCTCGATGTCTGTGTTGATGGTTCGGCGTTTCGACGCCCGATTCGTGAACTTTCGAGGGCCGCCTATTCGTGGGTCTTCCTGGAGCCCGAGAATGATAAGAGAGTTGCAACTGCCCAAGGTACTGTTCTTGACACCCTCCCCCAGACCTCCCAAGCTGCTGAACAGCAGGCGATGGCCCTCCTCCCCATGTTCCAGGACTGCGGGGGGGACAGGTACGGGGATAGCACGACGGTAATCAAGATGTGCACGTCGCCCGCGGTCAACCAGTGCTCGAGGAAGCACCGTTATGCTGGCCTAAGACGTGGATCTCTTTTGCACGAGCGAGCTGGACACCAGCCGCAGTTTCATCACACTCCAGCACATCGCGCGCTGGCCAAGATTGACGAGCTACCCGCGGGAGAGAAGAGAATCGCGCTGGGTAATTGGTATGCAGATGCCCAGGCCAAGAGAGCTCTCTTCGACCATCCCCAACCCTCCTCAGCTGAAGAAGAAGAGGTTGAGTGCAGGCTTAGTCAGTTAAAGACAATTGCCCGAGTTATGGGTAAAGTCTTATCATTTTTTCCTTTAGAGAAGTTTGACCGTGTTACGAGTTCAGGTCCGAGGGCCAAGTTTTTAAAATCTGGAGGTTGGCACGCGTGGCAAGAGTTAGGTAATGATCGTGCGCGATGCCTCAGATGTTTAACCCTCGCTAGAGACCAGGACTCCAGACCCATGATAGGCTGTAAAGGCATGAGTAGGACCTTGGAGCGAACACTCGACATGTCTCTCGGCCACACCCTCGCACATTGTACGGTAGTTCGAGGATCGGAGCAGAAGGTTTTGTTTTTCTGCACGGTTTGCGGGGCCTATTCCACCCGCAGATGCAGACTCTTAGGACGAGAGTGCCAGCGGCGAAAGCTGGCTGGAGGTGCCACGAGTCTACGACGCATCTACGACGGTCTTTTTCTTCAAGCCAATGTGCAGGCTGAGGTTTCGACGACTTCTCGGAGAGGAGTTGCTAATTTATGTTACGCTGCCGCGTTGCCACCGCCCGAGGAGGTCACGCTGCACCAGCCTGCGATGACAGGCCTCATCCAGACGGACGGGATGCGTGCGATCAGCCAGCGTGTGCTGGCCAGAGAGGAAGCTGCTAGGGCAGCTGCCTCCTCAAGCACGTAGGTTTAAACAATCGTGGTTCGGCCCCACGGGGACAAACAGCAGCTGTCCGAGACGTTGCGGGGACCATCTGCGCGGAGATTCGTGGACAGCATGGAGCAGAGCATGCGCCCAGGCCCCCTGACGAAGGTCATCTACGAGTTGACAGTGGAAGAAATCAAGGCTGGGCTCGCCGACCCATTTGTGACGCGTCGCGAGCTCGGCCTTCGGTTTGGGCCTGGGGGTTATCGCCCGCTTCCGTGCCGCGCTATATGGCAGGGCGACAAGTGGCGACTAATCGATGATGGGAAAAGGGCTCGCACCAACGCCTTATCTTTCCTATCAGAAGCGCTCGTGACTATTCCGCCAGAGCTGCCGCTTCTCATTGCCCGCGCGTTGGCCCTCCAGGTTTCGCAAGACGGCCACTCGCTTCCTGAGTGGTTCCAAGTCGTCGCGTCAGTGGAGGATTGGTGGAAAGGGTACCGTCAATTATTCCCCACTCGCAGGGACATGGGGTTTGTCGTGGTTGCCCTCCTCCACCCCACCACGCACGAGTGCCTGTGCAGCGTGCTGCGTGGGTTGCCTTTTGGCCTGGGGTCAGCGGTGAACCAATTCAACCGAGTCCCGCTCCTCCTCGCAGCCGCCGCTCGCCGCTTGCTGTACGTGATGGGCGGACATTACGTCGACGATAACGTTATCGTGGACTTTGCGCTGTCTAAGGGGGACGCCCAACAGGCCTTCCAGGAACTCGCGCGCTTGCTTGGTGTGGCGCTCTCGGACGGAAAGCGCGTGCCACCGACGTCAATGCTGCCTTTCTTGGGACACTTGAACGACCTAAGCCGCATCCAAACCGATTCGGCGGTCAGTTTGAGCCTAAGTTAGGAACGCGTGACCGTTTCTTGGATGAGGTGAACCAAGTTTTGCTGGCTGGGCGTCTCCAGTCTGGCGAAGCCGCACATCTGCACAGCATCAGCGCATGGCTTGACACCTCGCTTGCTGGCCGGCCATGTCGGGGCGCTTTATCCGCCCCCATTGCGCGCCAATGCTACGAGGACACTGTAGAGATCACGCCAAACCTCCGGTGTTGCCTCCAGTACTTATCCTCCGTAGCACGACACGCTGCGCCCAGGTCGTTAGCCATTGCGTGTGACCTGCTTCCACCAGTGGTAGTCTACACAGACGCGTCTGCGGACAGTGGAAGGCCCCCGCGTCTTGGTGCTCTTGTATTCGTTTCTGGACGTGCGCCTGCTTGCCTTGTTTATGATGTATCCAAAAATATGTCTGCCCACCTGGGTTCAGAGGGAGGCCATGTGATCAACCAGGCAGAGTTGCTAGCTGCCCCTCTCCTGGTGTGGTCCATGCCATCCCTGCTGCAGAGCAGGGACGTGTTATGATTCATTGACAACCAGGCAGCCGAAACCGCTTTAGTCAAGGCGGGGTCGCCCACTGAGTCGATGTGTCGCCTGGCCCTCGTGGCCACAGCGGCACTGACGGCTCTTGGAGCCAGGCCGTGGTTCGAACGGATCCCGTCTTCCGACAACCCCGCAGACGTCCTGAGCCGCGCCGCATACGACGATCCCGTCGTATTGTCTCACATCCGTGCTGCTCGGTGGGAGGCGTTCTCACCACGGGAGCCTCCTGTAGCCGCCTTAGATTTCGACCGCCTGTTTGCCTCGCCTCCCTGACTGGTCGCGGGAGAAAAAACACAGGCGCCAAGGCGTGCAAGGAACGCCTACCTCTCAGCTGATCTTTGACCATTTCTTTTGTTATATTTCACAGCGTTGGGGGTGCTTGGGGACTTATCTTTCTCAGCGTTGGGTGTTGTTTGGCCGATCAGAGAACCCATTGCCACATGTGGGATTCCTGATACGGAGTACCAAGCTCCCCCCGCCACCACCAGTCAAAGATTGCAGCTAGGGCGTTGATTCCTCTCACCCCCCCTTCTCGCTGATAATCGCTCCGATCAGTTTTGGGAAGGCAGGGTAGGTGCTGATGGGGATTATCATCCGATGGGAGTGTGTACCTCGTCACAGCCCTCTCGGCCCGAGGGGTGCGCAGGCGAGGGTTTTCGTTTCCCCACCCCCGTCCCCTTGATACACCACCTCGTCGGCTGTAGCGCTGATGTTCGTTGCCCTTTATGCCGGCATGCCAAGCAACCGGTTGGGCCTCACCTCCTTGGGCTCCGTCCGGCCTGGCCTGCCCAGCTACAGCCGGCGACAGTCCTGGGTCCAGGTCTCGCGCGGGTAGTCCCTGTCCCCGTGCTCTTTGCGGGGGGTGTTGTTTGGCCGATCAGAGAACCCATTGCCACATGTGGGATTCCTGATACGGAGTACCAAGCTCCCCCCGCCACCACGAGTCAAAGATTGCAGCTAGGGCGTTGATTCCTCTCACCCCCCCTTCTCGCTGATAATCCTCCTCCTCCTCCTCCTTTTCCTCCTCCTCCTTTTCTGCGCAGGCCGCCGGGCGATCACACCTGTGGCGTCAACTCCTCCTCCTCGTCCTCCTCCTCCCCCTCCTCCTTCTCCTCCTCCTTTTCCTCCTCCTCCTCCTCCCCCTCCTCCTCCTCCTCCTCCTCCTCCTCCTCCTCCTCCTCCTCCTCCTCCTCCTCCTCCCCCCCTCCTCCTCGTCCCTCTCCTGCATATGCTTGTGGTGGTTCAACATCGGCCCATCACAGGCGGCGGACGCAGACCCGAGTACAGTCGGACTGAGGTGTAAGGTCGAGGCCGGCTCGGGGAGGGAAGCCCTGGGCCCAGGTCCGACCGTGCGTGGCATGTGAGATGGAGTGACAGTGGACGAGTGAAGCGTTGCTCACCCTCCTTGTCCTCGTCTTCCAGCGTCTCTGCTTCATTAGGGGGACAAAAAGTGGCTTAAACATAAAAACTCGGAGGTCCGCGCGGATTTCTGGGATCGGCGCTGGGGCCCCCCTCCGGCGCCTCCGGCGCCGCCCCTGGCGCGCTCCGCGCGCCAGGGGGGGGGGGTCCAGCGCCGATCCCAGAAATCCGCGCGGACCTGAGATGTTTTTTGTTTATGTCACTTTTTGGTCCCGTATTCATGATGGCTACGGTGCCCGGAGCCCAGCAAATCAGCTCAGAGTTAGAAGCGCCTTGGCGCAAGTCTCACAGCAGGCGAGCGTAGCCAAACAGGCTGTGAGTTCAAAGCAGCCCGAAGGAGTGGTGGATCGCTCCACACTTCGCTAACCGTTTGCTGTCGGCAGTTGTGTCACGAAGTGGGAGGTTTCAGATCCATCAGGATCTCGTGAATGTTGCGTTGCATAACTATGCCCGTTACTGCGTCGAAGACTTGCGCTGGAACATACTGTTCCTCCCCTCCCCTCCCCTCCCCGCGATGGCGCCTACCTTCAGGGCCTCCCTCGCCTCCCCTCCCCTCCCCTTCCCTTTCCAGCTGGTAGTGTCTGCATGCTTCACTCGACCTGGGCGCCCCTGGAGAGTTGTTATCTCGTTCATCTTCTGTGAGTCTCGTGATGGCCTCGGCCGACAAGCACTCTGCTCACTCAGCCTCCTCCTCCTCCTCCCCCTCCGCCTCCTCCTCCTCTTCCTCCTCCTCTTCCTCACCTCCTCCTCCTCCTCCTCCTCCTCCTCCTCCTCCTCCTCCTTCTCCTCCTCCTCCCCTCCCGTCGTTGCGCTCAGCTTGTTTGTAAGGGTGGTGTACAAGGTTCTCTGGAGGTCGATTTTCGCTTGGATTTTTGTTCGAAACGTTGCTCCCGCTGAAGGCGCTGGCCTCATGTTCGGGCTGCCGCTCGTTCCGGATCGTGCTCCTGCTGCAGCGATGTTCTCATTTACGCGCTGCCGCTGGTTCCGAATTGTGCCCCGGCTGCAGCGGTGGCCTCTTTTCCGTGCTTCTGCTCGTCCCGAATCGTGCCCCCGCTGCAGCGGTGGCGTCACTATTTCCAGCGCCATGCCACGGCATGGTTTCTGGTCCTTGTAAATATGCTACAACATCTAGAGAATGGCCTCCCGAAGAAACCATCGGAAGTGATTCCACATTCGGTGCCGATTCGTTGTTTTTTCGTGCCGCAGTAGCCCCCCCCACTTTGGGGCGTCGCCACGCCATGCTATGTCATGCTACGCGTTGATCTTCGACACCATGCTATGCCATGTAATGCCATGCCATGCTACGACACCCGATCGTGCGAGCAGAGAGGAGCTCTGCGCCATGGCGAGGGATGGGAGGGGGGGGGCTAGGGCGTCAGATACGACGCGAGCGCACCTAGCTTGCCTCCCCTCCCCTCCCCTCCCCTCCCCTCCCCTCCCCTCCCCTCCCCTCCCCTCCCCTCCCCTCCCCTCCCCCTCCCCCTCCCCCTCCTCCTCCTCTCCTCCCTCCTCCTCCTCCTCCTCCTCCTCCTCCTCCTCCTCCTCCTCCTCCTCCTCCTCCTCCTCCTCCTCCTCTCCTCCTCCCCCTCCTCCTCCTCCCCCTCCCCCTCCCCCTCCCCCTCCCCTCCCCTCCCCTCCCCTCCCCTCGCGCCCTCGGCGATGGCGGCCGCCCGCGCCGCGCGGCGCGCGCGCGCGGGCGCGCCGCGCCCCCGCGCGCTCGCCGCCCTGCTGCCGGCCGCCCTGCTGGCGTGCCTGCTGCCGCGCGGCGGGCCGCGCCCCCCGGCGGGCCCCGCGGCGGCCTTCGCCGGCGCGCGCCTCGGCGGATTTTTGTTTAAGGCCGGCCCCAGGACGATGGAAGTTCAGAGGGGGAAGCTGTACTCAGGGGACGCGAAGATCGGGACAAAGTCGGGTCGAGATAACTCGAAATCTCTGAGAATCGGCGGGTTTGGAGGATGTATTGGGCGCCGCGGCCGCTCCAGAGCGTTCCGGAACGCTCTGAGAGCGCTCCGGAACGCTCTGGAGCGATTTATCCCGATCCTAGCCCTGTTTTAATACCTCTGCTTCTGCCCCGCTTTTCTTTTTTTGGGGGCCTCCTGGGGGGTCTTCGTGGCTTCCGCTGGATTCGCCTCGACATTCTGGTCGGAACGCACCCCGGGAGAGGTCTAGGGAGCAGCGGTATGGGTACCTTTTGATTCCCCCCAGAAGTGGGCACAGAGACCGCAGGATTCGCTGTCGGCGTCTCCGGTGTCCATCTGAGGCAGGAGGCCGCTTGCTCAACAGCGGCCGCTGGGTTTGGGGCAGCATGTTGGGCACTGTACCCATTTTTCCGTACAGTGAGCGGCTTGAATGAGGAACACTTATTTTTCAAAAGGGGCTCGGTCGTTCCTTAGGTTTGCCTGCGTTATTTACAATTCCTTATGCGTTATTTGTCATTTATCGTTCCTTATGCGTTATTCCTTGGGATAAAAAAGGAGCTTCGTTCCTTATTTATCGTTCCTTAGGTCAGGCCGATGACTGTACCCACTTCGGACGTCCGAACGGTAGGGCGAGCGGATCCCCAGACGTGCTCGAAGAAGGGAAAACGCCATAAACAGCAAAACTTGTGGCCCTCCGCGCGCGGACTTCTTGGATCCGCGCCGGCCCCCCCCGGCGGCGCCTCCAGCGCCGCCGCGGGCGCGCTCCGCGCGCCAGGGAGGGGGGTCTTGTGTAGATCCAAGATACAGCTGGGGCGCTGAAGAAGGAACCCCTTTCCGTTGGGGAGGGGCTCGTTGTTTTTTGATTATTGTGCCATTTGTCGGAAGTTTCCCGAGTGGTTTCCATGGGGAATCGAAGTTTATCTTTTGGGAAAAGGGGCCTCGTTCCTTATTTAGGGTTCCTTAGGTCAACGCCTCGACTGTATCTGCGCGGAGCGCCAACAGTTCATGTTAATGTCGTTTTTCTTCAGGAGTTCGGCCACGCGCAGGGGAGGGCAAGGGGAGGGGGGGAGGCCTCTTAGAAGGAGGCTGCTTCTCAGCAGGCGCAGGCCTTGTCTGTTGATGTGAGGTTGGCGCCTTCTGAGAAGCACAGCCTCCTGCCAAGACGCAGTCCCCCCTCCCCTGACCCCCTTGTGTGCGCCGCCGAGACATGCTCGCGCGCCCTGGCGGGTTTTCCCACAGACTTGCTGGAGTCGTTGAACGACGCTGGACGGGAGGTTTCTGCATCGTGTTCTCGGCCTCTCGTGGCCCTTACACCGCGTCTCCTGGCGGTCAACCAGAGCGCTTCGAGAGGACAGCCCGGCCCCAGGGAAGCGTTCGAGAGGTCGGGGGCCTGCGTCTCGAACATCGGGACGCCGGATGTATATGGGTGAGGCATTGTTTTGGACAGCCCTGGCGTTACTGGGCAGCATCAGGGGGGGGAAGGGGGGGAGGTGGCCAGGGAAGTGTTCGAGAGGTCGGGGGCCTGCGTCTCGAACATCGAGGCGCCGCTGGATGTAACATGGGTGAGGTATTGTTTTTGGAAGCCCTGGCGTTACGGTCGGGGCGCTGAAGAAACCCTTTTCGTTGGGGAGGGGCTCCGTGTTCCTTAATTGTTCCACAGTTTGTCTTATGTCTTCCTCAGGTTTTCGCTGGGCAATCGAAGTGTAACTGATGGGAAAAAGGGGCCCCGTTCCTTCTCTAGGGTTTGTACTGGGCAGCATCAGGGGGGGGGAAGGGGGGGAGGGGGCCGGTCGCGTCACGATCCGCGCCGGCGCCGTCTGGGGATGCCAGGGATGGCTGGTTTACATACGGACGGAGGCGAATCGTGACCTGACTGTGGGGGGAGGGGGGAGCGGGTCTGGCCACGGGCGTTATCGCGAACAATAATTCAGGCAGGAAGAAACACACAGAGACACAATTCATCGTCGACTCCTAGGAGAACATGGGGAAATAAGGGAAGTGGGGGGGAAGACGAAAGCCCAGAACATGTGGGAAAATCTTGAGTCCTGGGATTTGTGTCTTTTCATTTCGGCGTTGAGGAGGAGGAGGGGGAGGAGGAGGATGAGGAGGAGGAGCAGGAGGAGGAGGAGGAGGAGGGGGGAGGAGAGAGGCGCGAGGAGCGAGGCGCAAGGAGGCGGCGGCGGCGCCGCCGCCGCCGCGCGTGCCGAGGCGGGGGGCGCTGCCCCGCCGGGCGCGGCTGCGCCCCGCGGCTGGCGGGCACGTCCCTGGAGGTGCTGGAAGGCACGTCCCGGGCGATGCTCGAGGAGCCGGCGTCGGGACCCGCGCAACAAGGGGGTTGGCGCCAACCAGGGGGGCAGCCGGTCCCCTCTCTTGCGGGCCCGGGTCTGGGAGCTACTGAGCGGCTGGCCGGGCTTCGCGACAGGGCCCTGGTCAGGAGGGAAAGAAACACGCAGACAAAATTAATCGTCGATTCCCCAGAAAATATGGGAAAATATGGGATCTGGGGGGGAAGACAGGAACCCAGAAAAAATGGTAAAATATGCAGAATAGTTTTATGTGTGTGTATTTATTTGTATGTCCTGGGGCCCCTTCACCTTGGGGCGGGGCTTGGACGAGATAGATCCGTTCTAGAGCGTTCTTGGACGCTCTCGCAGCGTTCCGGAACGCTCTGAAAAGGCCGCGGCGCCCGATACATCCTCCAGAGCCGCCGGATCTCAGAGATGCTTGATTTATCTTCACCCGATTTTCTCTGCGTCCTGGCGTCGTCTCGGCCCTGGCCGACCCGGTTTTGGGCTGACCCAGGTTCGTGCTTCCCCGAGATTGGCATCTCGTCGTCTCGGGGGCGGCGAAGATCGGGGGCGTTCAAGATGGGGGCTTGAGGGTCTCCTCCTCCTCCTCCTCCTCCTCCGCCTCCTCCTCCGCCTCCTCTTCGCGTCGTGAGCAGAGTCGCGGCGGACTGTTTCTTGGCAGTGCTCGGCCTCGGGGGGGCCCTGCGTAGCCCGGCCCCGGGGCCGTCAATGAAGCAGCTCGGGCTGGCAGGCCAGTCCAGGGGAAAGGGTCCAGACCTTTATCAGGTGAGCGGAAAAAAACAAACATAATGAATCGTCGATTCCTCCAAAAGTATGGGAAAACATGGGAATTAGGGGGACGACGGACATCCAATACATATGGAAAGATATATGGGGAATCCTGGGAATTGTGTGTATTTATGTGTGTGTGTGTCCTTGGGCATGTCTACTTGAGGGGTCGCGTCATGGAAAAATCATGACGTCGGGGGTCTGGGGCTATAGGGACGGGTGGATCTCATGGCTGGGGCCATCCAATCTCCCAGAGTTCATGACCCCCTTTTTGTTCTTACAACACATCCCCTGCCCCCCACTCGTCCGCGCAAGTAACCCCATGCCTCGTGTCATGATGCCCCTCCTCGTCCTGGCTTCCTCGTCGGAGCACCCGAGAAGAGGGGGGCGAGGATGTCTTCGTTTTCGTTTGGTCTTATCGGGGGAGAGCTTTGTCATATGTTCGAGCTCCTTACAGTCAACGCGCCTAGTAAGGACGCGCGCCTTCATCTAGGATGCCCTTGCGTCCTTGCCTTTGTGGCCCGTCCTTTGCCGTTTTCACTGGTCGCCGCCGCCCAAAAAAATCCCAACTTCAGCCTCCAATGGTCTTGCGTCCTTACCACGCGTATACGTTTTCACTGTACTCGTCTTGGGATGCTCTCCGTCGGCTGTGCCCCGTCGAGGGGTCTCCGGGGCTGCCCGCATCGTCCCGAACGGCCGCGTGGGGCCCGGGGCACGATCCGAACTCTGCCGGGCGCTGGAGACGGAACGGGGACCAGGGTGTGTATATCGGGGGCGGAAAAGAGAGGGGTGATGACTAGGGGGGGGGGGAATATCATGGCGGGGGCCATGATATTTCCACAGATTTCATGGCGCCCCTTCTTATTTAATCGCTTCGCTCATTCCGCCGGCCCATATTGGTGCACGGCTGTCGATTGCCTCAGTGATCGGAGTTAATGCGGCTGATGGGTTTGGTTGTTGGTCATGGATGGTCGGCTTGTGGCGACCTTGCCGGGAGGAGCCATTTTTTGCATGCCTGAGCCGTCTTATCTGGAAGGTGGCGGTTCGTGAAATTTTATCGCTCGAAACAAGAAAACAGTTTGCAGTCTCCTTGTCCTCTGAACTTCCTCCTTCCGCTGCTATGTGTAATCGTGCGTGTGTGTTGGGGAGGGGGGGGGCGGGGGGGTTGGGGTAGGGGGGTAGAGGCGCGAGCGTGGAAAGTGTGGGTGGCAGAGGAGGAGGAGGGGGGGGAGGTGGGGGAGGAGGAGGCGGAGGGAGTAGAGGAGCAGTGGAAGATGGAGGAAGGATCAGAGGCACGGGGGGTTTGGAGTGAGAGAGGTTGTTCATTTGAAGTCTCTTCAGGGTCTTTTGGAAGCTCTCGGCGGCCTCTTGGTGGTATTTGTTGGTCCTCCTGGGGCTTCACGGCGCTTCGCCGCATGAAGCGCTGTTGGGGTGTCCCGGGAGCCTCTTAGAGGCAGTTTTGAAGCCTCGTGACGGTCTCTTGGGAGGCTCTCGGCGGGCTCTTGGCGGTATTAATTGGTCTTCTTGGAGCCTCACGGGAGCTTATTGGGGCGTCTTGGGGGTGTCTTGGAGGGTCTTTCGGAGCGGAGGACTTCAAATTCACGTTGGGGCTCCTCGTGGGAGGCTCTCTTGGAGTAGTCGTGGGAGTCTCTTGGGCCGTCTCGGTTTGGGGTATCTCCGGTGCTTCTTAGAGGCAGCTTTGAAGTCTCTTCAGGGTCTCTTGGGAGGCCCTCGGCGGTCTCTTCGCGGTATTTGTGGGTCCTCCTGGGGCTCCACGGCGCTGCACCGCAATCAGCGTTGTTGGGGTGTCTCGGGAGCCTCTTAGAGGCAGTTTTGAAGCCTCGTGACGGTCTCTTGGGGGGCTTTCGGCGGGCTCTTGGCGGTATTTGTTGGTCCTCTTGGGGCCTGGGGCCTGACGTTGTTGGTCCTCTTGGGGCCTCACGGGAGCTTATTGGGGCGTCTTGGGGGTGTCTTGGAGAGTCTCTTGGGGCCTCTTTCGGGGTCCTGGGCGCCTTCTGGGGCGGAGGGCTCGATTTTTCAGTTCTCGGTTCCCTTCTTGAGCCCCTCTTGGGCCCGTCTTGGGGCCTCTTGGTCCGCCTTGGGCGGCACTTGGGCCGTCTGGGGGGCGCTCTTGGGCCGCTCCAGGGCCGTCTTGGGAGCCTCGTGGGCCGTCGTGGAGCAGTCTTGAAGGCCTCTTGGGCCCTCTTGGAGCGTCCGGAAGCCAAAAGGCCAGAACGCAAAAAACATAGAAAAAACCAATGAAAATCAACGATTTTGGCGACTTGGGGCCCTCTTCGGAGGCCTCTTGGAAGGCCCTTGGAGCGTCTTGGAGGCCTCTTGGGCTGTCTTGGGGCCATCTGGGGCGTCTTCGGGCGATCTTTGGCCGTCTCGGGCCTCTCGTGGACCGTCTAGAAAGCTTCTCGGGGCCCTCTTGAACCGATCTGGAGCCCTCTTGGACTCCGAAACAGAACTCCGGCATCTCTGACCCGACCTTGCCGGGACCTTGCCGGGGACTTGCCGGGGACTTGCCGGGACCTTGCCGGGGTACTTTTCGCCCGGGGACCCCCAGGGGCCGCCCTGCGCGCGCGAACTAGAAATACTGTCAACCAGGTACCGGAGATCTTAGCACGCCCTGGCCCGTTGGGCCGGCGAAGTTCATCACGTCTCTGGCCCCGCCGCCGGGCCGCGCACATGCCGCCGTTCATGATTTGCACCCCCCCCTCTTGGACACCCCGACACCCCCCTCTTGGCCGCTCCCGAGTATGTGTGTGTGTGTGTGTGGGTGTGCGTGTCGAGATGCCATGGTCGGGGCGTGAATTGTCCCAGAGTGAATGTGAGCGACGCCAGGTATCGGGGTCGTCGGCGCCGACAGACATGCGCGCGCGAGCTGCCCGCGTAGGCTCGCGCGTAGGCGCCTTCGTCTTCAATGTAGCGTGCCGCGCTGGCGGCCCGCGTAAGCCACCGCGTAGGTCGCTGCGTCGATCTCGTGGAAGACCCTCGTCGCCCCCTCTTCCGCGCACCCGCCTCTCGCCGCCCCCCCATCGCTCGATTGATCGAGCCCGGAGGTTCTTCATTTTTCGCCCCCAGAGTTGAGTCGGGCGTGTCCCTCTACAGGAAGAGTATCCAGCAGTAGTCAAAAAATAGTCTCGGGACGACTGTTCGATTCTTTTGCTATTTGTTTGGCGTGTTTCTTCCTTCCAAAATCTGCCAGCAGGAGGACATGCCTGACCTAACTCTAGAGTGAAGAACGCCCAGGGTTCGCTAGGGACTGGTTTCCCCCCAAAGCGACGAAGCCCCTCCCAAAACCCTCCCGAAACCGTCCGGAAACCCTGCCGAAAGCCTTCCCAAAAGGGTTTCCGCATGGTTTATGGAGGGCGTCGGCTGTTTTGAAAGGAGACCAGTCTCTAGAAAATCCTGGACTTAATAACTCTAGGGGCCCGTGTAGGGCTCCCGGAGGCCGTCAAGAGTCGATCCGGGCGCGGAAGTGCCAGGTTTGACGAGAACCCTCGAGAGGAGTCCAGGAGGTGATTCTTTGGCTTACGCCGCACCGCCGACCTCTTGGGGGAAAGCCGCTGTTGCTGCTCCTGGGCGCTGCGTGACTGATGCTTGTATTTATCGAAGACGCCTACGGCGAGTCACCACCGCCCCTTGCCCTTTCGGAAGCGCCTATGTGGCCGAACGTTGAGGCCAGAGCCCTGCCAAGCTATCGGGCCATATGCTCCCCGAATCGGTTTGGAAAGCCTTCGGGGAACACGTGGGGGAGGACGGGAAAGAGAAGGAGACTGAGGAATGGGCGTGTTCGGGGCCCTTTGGGGGCTGGAGGCGTCTCGGGGCCTGCTGGCCGACGGTTGGGTCAGCTCCTTGCCAATCTTTCGGAACGAGTGTTGCCCGAATCGGTTTGGAAAGCTTTCGGAGAACACGTGGAGGGGGTTGGGGAAGAGGAGGAGAGTGAGGCACTCCTGGAGGACGTCTTGGAGGACTCATGGGCCGTCTTGGAGGCCGGAAGCACATACGGGCGGGGCCCGCTTGTACTGCTTCTGCTTTTTGGGATTCCAGCAGTAGTCCTTTCGCAAGGCCGCTCTCCTCTGTTCTCCTCTGCAGGCCCACGCGAGGGCAACTTGCCCAGCTCCGAATCGCTCTGTCCGCAGTGGGTCCGGCCCTTGCTCAGTTCTGCCAATCTCCCGGTACCTCTCTGCGGACACTGCTGCTTCGAGTGGCCCTCGGGACGAAGGACAAGCTGCGGAAGTGGGTGTCCAAGGCGTACTCCCTCGGGCTGAACCCGCCCGCCGTGCTCCCGGGCCTCAGGCGGGGAGCGTGAAGCGGCCGTGCGCAGCCCTCCCCCCTGCCAGGCGGGAGGAGGAGGGCTGCCAGGAGGAGCCAGGAGGAGGAGCCAGGAGGAGGAGGAGGAGGAGGAGGAGGGGGAGGAGGAGGAGCTTCGGAGTCGTCCGGGGGTCCGAGGTGGCCCAGCTCTGGGTCCAGCGCTGAAGGGGGGGGAGGCAGGCTCGAAGTTCTGGGTTCGGGATTTGTTTGATTTTTTATGGATGTCTCTGGGGGCTGTTTTCGGGCCCAGGGACCGTGACAAACGGATCTGGGGTGAAACATTGCACCAGACGGACCTTTGGAGGGGTCCTCGGACCGATTTTGATCGGATTTGGCCTCCAGCCTGACCGATTTTGAAATGTGGCCCCCCAACCAGTTCAGTCCCCCGGCAGCCTCCCAGGAGGATGAGGGGAGCGATGATCACATGTTGCTCGAGGATTCCGCACAGAGTGCTTGCACGCAGCGCTTCTTACTTGCGCTGCTAAGGAATCGGACGGGTCCGTCGAGGTTTCGCCGCGTCGCCGCCCGTCGCCGCGTCGTTGCCGCTTCGTTGCCGCTTTTCTGCTGCCGACTTGGATGGGTCCGCCGTCGAGGTTTCGCCGCGTCGCCGCCCGTTGCCGCCTCGTTGCCGCCCTCTTGGGGATCCGTCGGTGTTTCGCCGCGCTGCCGCCCGTTGCCGCCTCGTTGCGACACGCTGTGCTCGGGGGGTCCGTCGAGGTTGCACCACGTAGCTTGCACCACATGGCTTGCACCATGTAGATGATATACAGCCGCAGCGTAAAGACTCTTTGGAGTCCAGCTGGCTAGCATGGAGGCCCTGGCTATCGCCCGAAACCAGAGAGAGAGAGAGAGAGAGCGCGAGAGGGAGTGTGAGAGAGAGAGAGTTTGATATACATAATTTCATATATATATATATATATTCATATATCTATATAGATGTAGAAAAGAGAGAATAGAGAGAGAGAGAGCGATAGATGGAAAGAGAGAGAGAGAGGGAGACAGAGACAGGGGGAGAGACAGTGAGAGAGAAACAACAGAAGGGGTAGAGGGGAGTAAGAAAAAGGGAGGGGAGGAGCTGGGCGGGTGAGGGGAGAGTGGGCAGAAGAACAGGGAAGCGAACACAATGGTTGCAGGGAGAATGGGCGGAGGAGGGCCGACTCTGGAAGTGGGCGTTTCTGCAGTTTGATAGGGCTTTCAAACGTTCTGCGCAGCCTCCTGGGGGGGTGGGGTGGGGGAGATCTTTGGGGGAGGGACGATGACGAGACCGAGACCTGTACGCCTTGTTCAAGGGTGCCCTCGCGTCCTTGCGTCCTTGACCCCCCCCCCCGCGCCCCGTGGCTCGGAAGCCTGGGGCGTCCACGGAGGACGGCGTGTCCTACACCCCCCCCTGGAAAAGTATAGTGCACCTTTTGCGGCTCGTGTCGACGAGTCGCGCTGCGGACCTCCCTGGGGCCACATGTGCTTGAGAGGAGGAGGAGGAGGAGGAGGAGGAGGAGGAGGAGGAGGAGGAGGAGGAGGAGGAGGAGGAGGAGGAGGCGGGGGAGCAGGTTTTCATCCCCGATCCGTTTCCGACGGTCCCAGGGCCCGAGCGCGCCCCCTGAGGCCAGACAGAACGCATGACGGTGGGCGGCGAAAACAAACAAATCGACAACTCGAGTCGCTTGTGTCCTCATCTGACGTATTCGTGTCCGAGTTCGAGTGCACGGCGGGTTCGCGCTGCGTCGGCGTTGCGGCAGGGCGCGTGCGAGCTTTCAGGATTTGAGTGTCACCCGCAGCCTCCCAATGGAGTTCCTTACTAGCGGGGATTGCTCATGGTCCGAATGTCTCTGGTGATGACAGGAGCCAGGGCCCATGCTGTCAAGGGAGGAACTTGCCGAAGGTTCGGTTGCAACTCCTGGGAGGCTTGCTCACAGAGCCCAGCCGGGCCTAGCTCAGGTCAGCTCTGCCCGGATCCGGCACGTGGTCCCCCAATCCAGCCCGTACCCTTGTCAATCCAGCTTGGTAGGTCCACATCGTGCCCGCGCCTCCCAGGAGTTGCTGCCTAACGTAGGCTTGTCCGATGCGCTCTCGGCCCACCAGGGACACCTTCCTGCAGGGGCTGCCGCATGCCGTCACCTGTGACGAGTTCGACGAGGTGGCCCGCAGGGTGCTCCAGGACGCCCAGAAGGGCGGCACGGAGGTGGCCAGCCCGCCCAGTGGTCAGCCGCCCGCGCAGGCGCCGTGTCCAGCTCCTCCTACTCCTGCCCCTCGAGGGGGATCCGGGGGTCGCAGGACAATGATCAGAGGAGGGAAGAGATACCGATACCGCTGCCGTTGCCTCTTCCCCACGGCTGGATTCGCTTCGAAATCCTTGTGAGGGCGCAGCCACTGGAACGGTCCAGAAATTTGCCTCTTGGGGCCCCGTTGGGTCGCTCTTGGAGCGCTATTGGGGCCGTCTTGGGGTCTTCTTCGGCTTCTTGGACCATCTTGGAGCAGTTTTGAGGTGTCGAAGGCCAGTCGGAAGCGAAAAGGCGAGGATGCAAAAGCGATGCGTTCTCCAGAGGATGTCGCCCTCTCGGTGGCATCTTTGGCGGGAGCCCTGGCCACTCGGAGCGGTGTTGGGGGGTCGTTGGGTCTCTTGGAGGCAGCGTGGAGGGCATCCTGAACCATCCTGAGCTGCCTTGTGCCATCTCGGAGGTCATGTTGGACTTTCTTGGGCCATCTTGCGGCCACTTTAGCCGAGAAGGACCTGACACCCCGAGGCCCCTCCTGTTCAGACCCAGGGGGATGGGGAGGGGGAGGATCTGGATCTTTCTCCCAGTCACAAACTGTTTGGCTCACTCCCACCCCCCCTCCCAACAGAGCGTGCTAGGCGCGCCACGCGCACCGGGTGCGCTGGGCCCACCTGGGGCCCAAGCGTGCCAGGCACGCCTGGTGAGCCAGATGCGCCACGTGCTCCGCGTGCGCCAAGTGTGCCGTCTGCTCCAGCCGCTCCAGGTGCGCCACGCTCGGGGCACGCGGAGAGTGTGCCAGGTGCGCCCGCGCACCTCGGTGAACACGTCGGCCCCAACCATTGCCGTCGAAAACCGCTGCAGACGTCGCGGGCGGAGTGGCCAGCATGATGTCCGGGGCCGGCGCGCAGCAGGAACTGTTCCTGCACCCCAGTCGTCCGTGGGTCAGCACCTCATGCAAAGTGATCGCGGGGTGCCAATGCACGATCCAGATTTGACGCGAAGTGAAATGTGTATGTCGTGGGTGGACAGAAACCCCAACAGTGACACGTCGATTAGTGAATTGTCCGTTTTCGGTTCTCGAGAGGGCGCCGTGGCCGTTCTTTTCCAGGCTTGCGCCCGCCAGGTTTGGGCCTCAGGTGTTTTAACTAAATCACGTTTTACTAAAGGGGGTTCTGTCCATCCCCGAGTATGATTGTTTACAAGGGATAGGGGCATTGCGCACAGCAGGCCATCTGCTGGCACGCCCTGTCAACCAAACTGTACAACGTTCTCGCGTGGCCCCGGGCCATGACCCAAGATTTTGCCGCAGAGTGCACTTGGAAATGTTCTCTTTGACAGGGGAGGCGGGGGGTGTCGCGAATTGTCCGGGGTGCTGTCAGTCGGGGGGGGTAGATTAAGAAGGACCAGTGACAAGCTCCCCCCCAAGCCGCAGGCCGTCCAGCTCCCTCCCACCCGCCCTCCCAACAACACGTTGCCCAAGTCGCAGCACATACAGAGCCGTTTTTAATACCTGCTCCGCGTGCGGATCATGTATAAAAATGCAGGGATTTAGTATTAAAGACAACGATGAGTTCATGCATACATTTGTTCATAGCGTGTGTTAAAACTCCTGTATGTTTTAAACATCCTATGTATGAAAAGCTGCCCTGTACTCAGTGGTCGCCAAGGGATGGACAGCCACGGGTAGCCAAGGCAGGCTCCAGGTGCGCGACGCCAGCGAGGTGCGCCGGGCGCGTGCCACGCGCCGCGCGCACCCCGGGTGCGCCAGGCGCTCCAGGGGCCTGCGCGTACCTGGCGCGCCCGTTGCGCCGGGTTCGCCACGTGCTCCACATGCACCACCCTGTCAAGAATCAGAGGATCGCAAACATGGATCAGGGGGGCGTGGATGAGAAGCCGCGGATCTCCGCCGCCGGACGAGGGCACTTCCCCCGATCCATGTTTGCGCGCCCCCGAAAATATAGCCGATGCCACATGTCGGCCGGGTGGCCAGCATGTTGCATGGTATGGGCATCCGCATTGCATGTGTTTTTGACAGGGATTGCGTGCCCGCGCAGGCAAGAGAATATGAGGGACGGCACCCCAGCCCTGTCAAACAAAGTATACATTTTGATCTCGGGGCGCCCGCGCATGGTCCAATGTTTGGCAGCAAAGTGTACTCTATTGTTTCTGGTTTGTCAGGGATGGCTGGGCATGGTTTCGGGTCTGCCGCCGGTCGGATGGGGGAGGGGGTGTGTATCAATTAAGGGCAGAGATGACACCCCGAAGGGGAATCATGGGGGCGGAAGCAGTGGAGCGCCGCGGTGGGAGTCCTGGAGCGCCGCTGACCCTCGCTGGCGGCGCCAGAAGCGCCGCCTCTGGCGCGCGCTGCGCACCAGGGTTGTGGGTTTGGGGATAGTTGTGCGGCATTCCCCATGCTGTCTCCCATGTCGCGAATTGTGGTCTTCTGAGTCAAGCAGTGGCGAAGCGTCCCAGCGTGCCCATAGTGCTACCATACAATGTTCTAAGAACCTTTGTTGGTTTCCAGGAAATGTTCTTAGCAGTGGCGAAGTGCCCCGGCGTGCCTATAGCGCTACCTATAGGGTTTCCAAGACATGTTCTTCGAACATCTCTGGCTGGGACTGTCTTGTTTTAGCCCATCGGGCTCATGGTCTAAAAACACTGTTTGTGTTCTTCGAACATTTTTTGTGTTCTAAGAACATGTCGTGGTAGGCCTCTATGACTGCCGGGACTGTCGGCCCCTGCTCAAGCTGCGGCGCCCTTCCACTTCTTGAGTGCAGCTTGCTCTCACTGGCTTATAACTAGGGATACGAAATGCAATGTAAATACTTAGGCGCGCGCTACCGCTATCTAGTTGTAAACCAAATTCTATCTAAACCTAAATCCAAACCTAAATGTGTTAATGGTTGCTAAGTTTTTGCAAGTGTTTCTAAGTTTTTTCTAAGTTTTTGTAAATGTTTGGGCACCCCACAAAAGAGAGTACTGGAAGGGGGGGGAAACCGTTTCCAGTTTGCTCAAGTGATGGCGACCCCCGCCAAAAGGCCGCGCCTCACTGGTCCGATTGTATCGGAATGTCTTCGGGTGTCCAGGGCTGACCTTGGTCGCATATTAGAAGTAGCGGAGAATGGCGGGGACATTGAAACTCTTCAGACGGCTACTCCATTTGGCGGCGTGATATGCTCATTGAGTATTCCAGCTAAGGAAGGAGAAGACGTAAAAGTCAACTATATAAACCCATTTGCGTTGATGTGGACACTGGCTGAAAGATCAACAGCGTTCATTCCATTCTTGCAATCTTGTCTCGCCTCGGCTGGATCCGACACGTTTCGCTTGATTCTATATAACGACGCCGCCAGGGTGGGGAACCCGTTGCGTCCTGACGACGCACGCAATGTAGAGGCCGTGTACTGGTATTTTTTAGAGTGGCCAGATTGGTTTCGGGCTCGCGAGTGCGGCTCCTTCCCTCTTTCGTATGTGTTGGTGGACAATGCAGACCGAATTAAAGGGGGCCGCGGTTGCTTGATGAAGCACATGCTAAAACTGTTTTATCGTCAGTTTGGTTTTGACATGGGCGTTGGGATTGATCTTGGCGATTTTCGTCTTCGAGCGCAATTTGCTGGGTTTCTCCAGGACGAGAAGGCACGCACATTCATGTGGGACGTTCGCGGGGCTGCGGGCCTGTTATGTTGCATGCGTTGCAAAAACATCATCAATTGCGTTCCAAGCCGCGTCGCTGACCATCCCTATTTGCGCCACTACTCCACAGCACTGCCCCACGAATTTGATTTTCGGACGACACAGACGTTCATCGAAATGGTTGAGGGTTTGGCCGCCGCTGTCGGGCGGCTTACGCGGGCCCAGTTCGAGCAACTTTCGAAATCGTTAGGGATGCATTACAACGTGGATGGGCTTGTTATGGACCCGCACTTGCGGGCAACGCTTCGGCCGCCCGAACACGCGCACATAGATTGGATGCACGCGCTGGTTGCAAGCGGCGGGATCGCCCAATTCGAAGTCAACGACGTCCTCAGGCAATTGGCTTCTCGTGGCGTTCCCACCAACACCATAGACGACTTTCACGCTTCAATCGCGTGGCCATTTCGAGGGGTAACCTACCGAAAGGATTTTCCAGCAACAGGCTCGGCAGTCAAAACAAACCTCTCAGATGTTTTTCCAGCGAGACTCTGGCAGCAGTGAAAGTATTGAGTGCGTTTTCGAAGGTAGATCGGCGCTGGCCAGCAGACATGATTGAGCAGAAGCGCTGTTTAGTACTATTAGAAACAATGTTGGATATGTTATGTTCGGGCGACACAGTGGCAGCTCACACAGACAAACTTTTTGATGCTACGCTCGCCCATCACAAACTCTACATTCGGCTGTACGTCCCGAGGATGGCAAAACCAAAGATGCATTTGATTTTCCACGCAATTTGGTCGATCGCCCGTCTGAGGAGAAGTTTAAACTGTTTCAGCTTGGAAGCCCATCACAAATCGTTGAAGGCTGCCGGCAGTCACGCTCGCGGGAATTGTTTCGAATCGTCCTGTTTGCAACGCGTTCTCGGCGCAACTGTTGCGCTTATAGATAGATGCGCCTTTGAAAGTTCTGCCCTGCGGGGCGCCTGTTCCAGCATGCCATCTCTTCGTTGCGCACTGTTGGTCCTGGACCCTGAAGCTGGACACGACGTGCAGGTGTCAGCCGTGGCAGACACACCCATCGGAACACGTTTAAAGGCTGGCGATTGCATTCAATTAGGTGGTAGTGATAACACATTTACCTTCGGTATTATAGATTGCATCGGCTCCGTCACGTCGATGACGAAGCCAACTCTTGCATTTTTCGTTGTTTTCAAAGAGCTCCAACGAATTGACGCGCGTGGAGTTTGGGCACTCAACGGACGCACGTCCTTGGCACGATTGTCAGATGCAGTTGCTGCGCTGCCATTTTTGCCTGCACCTGGGGGCATTTGCCTCGTGCACTCGCAGTGCCCTTGGTTGTCAGTTTGAAG